GATGCTGAGTCCAAGAAAGTTGTAAGAATCATGGCTAGCCACATTTTACAAGTAGGGAAACTGAGGCATGGAGCCATCCAGCAGAGTCCCCAAGACTACCTGAGTCACCAGTGGCAGACCCAAGGAGTAACCCAGACAGTCGTCTCTCGTGACCCATGACCAGTGTTGTCATGCTGGGGGCCCCTGAAAGTCACACAGATGCCCACTGGGCACAGTGTGGCCCCTCCTCAAAGACTAGGACTCCAGCGAAGATTCTGGCACTAGCCACCACAGAAGTTGCGGTGCATGTCTGAAGTTACACCTTGCATAAGGGAAGTCCGACCAGCACCCCACCCCTCATCACCTTCCTGCATTCCAGGGCATGTAGGGAAATCTTAGCACCCAGGTCTCCTGTGGGGAAATCACTTCCTAAGGAATGTGTAGCCCAGGGCCTTATCTCAGACCCAGGTGTCACTTAAAATATCCCATGCCTGCCACTGAAATGACACCAGGTTCCCCCACTAAGAGGCGGCTGGGGTGAGGCATGGGTCAGGCAGGGGAGTGCTTAAGCCACAGAGAGCCTGGGTCCCTCACACTCCCCGCTCTTTCTAAGCCATTGATGCCTAGGGCAGGCCTGGGGAAAAGCTGCCTTCTTCCTTGTACTGATGAGGAAAGAAGGCTCAGAGACTGCAAGCCACTTGCCTGAGGCCACCCAGCCTTGGGAGTATGGATGGTGTGTGTGTGTGTGTGTGTGTGTGTGTGTGTGTGTATGTATGTCTGTGTATGTACGTATGTACCTGTGTGAGTACATATGTACGTATGTGAGCCTGTGTATCAGGGCATGAGAGGCCTTTCTAGCTGGCAGCTGCTGTCTCCAGGTGGCATGGTGGGCAAAGGGGGCTGAGGCAGAAAGACTGGCAACAGATGGCTCCTCAAAGAGCCAGGGTGAGGGACAGGAATCTGAAAGGGGAGAGTCACTGTAGCCGGAGCTGCAGTCTCATGGGAAGGTTCAACTGGGCTGGGGGGGGGGGATCAAAATGCAGGGGCATCTGTCTGCAAGATGGCTGCACCCCTGTACTGAGGGCAGAGGCCTGTACTCCCCAGATGGGGACTTACAACATGGCAACATTCTACCCTGAGTTGGTGACACAGATAGCCAGGCAGAGGGCATACAGCAATGCCCCCCACCCCCTAGTGCCCTCCTGTAAGAGGACAGCCCTGTTCCAGGTGGCTACATAGGATGACTGGCAGGAGACCATCTTAAACCCAAGGCTGTGTGGAGGTGGCCTTGTATCTCTCACCGGGAGCCTGCCTGCTTTCTGTTCCAAGATGCATGTCCCTGTTCAGAGGGGTGGCATGTCTCAGGGGCTCAGAGATACCTGCTGTGGGGGTGCTCTGAGGGGCAGGAGCAGTTGAGGTAAGGCATGCGCAAGCTGCCAGCCACCACATTTTAGAAATGAGATGCAGCCAGGATATGCTCTGGAGCACACACCAGCTCAGAAGCAATTTTGTGTTCCGCCCGGGGTCAGAGTGCCCAGGCCGGGGCAATGGCAGCATTTCTAGCTGTAGTGCCAGGAGCCAGATGTGGATGCCAGGCAGACCTCAACACTGTCCCCTGTGGGACACAGTTGGTGTCCCCACTCCCCGCCCCCACCCCTCAGTCTTGTCCTCTAAAGCGAGCTGGTTAGTATGTATGTCACAGGTAGAGATAATGAAGTCCCATAAGCAGAGGGCTGGTTTACACCACCCTTCAGCCTCTGCCTCTCCCGCAGCACAGCCCCAGCTGTCAGGAAGCAGAAAGAGCCATACTCATTCCATGCCACACTGCCATGTCACGCATCCGAGTGTGTCAGGCAGGTTGCCCAGTGGCTCATGAGTGGCTTTGTCTCAACTCAGCCAGGGAGCAAGGACTCTTCCCCTCATAGCCTGGTCTGCCCTACTCTGCTGGACAGGCTGGACTAAGGGCTCATAGTTCTCCCTTCATGGGGAAATCATGTGAGCGTCAGCGGCTTCCTCCACAAAGGAAACAGCCTGTCCTGGTTTCGTTTCTGTTGCTGAGATAAAATACCCTGACCAAAAGCAACTGAGGGGAGGATTTGCTTTTAGTTACAGATTACAGCCCATCATCCTGGGGAAGTCAAGGCAGGACCGTCAAACAGCCCGCCACAGTCAGGAACAGCGAGCAGTGAATGAATGCATGCACACTTGTATGCTTGTACTCAGCTTAATTACTCACTCTGTTTTTTGTTGTGGTTGTTTGTTTTGTTTTTTGAGACAGGGTTTCTTTGTGTAGCTCTGGCTGTCCTGGAACTGACTCTGTAGTCCAGGCTGGCCTCAGAGTCACAGAGATCTGCCTGCCTCTGCCTCCTCAGTGCTGGGATTAAAGGCGTGCGCCACCACCGCCCAGCTATAACTACGCTCTTACACAGTTGATAACTCACTGCCTAGGGAATGGTGGTGCCCAGAATGGTGGTGCCCACAGTGAGCAGGGTCTTCCCACATCAATTAACTTAATTAAAACAATCCCCCATGGGGCAACCCAGTGTAGACAATCCCTCATAAAGACTCTCTTCACAGGTGATTCCAAGTTGTGACAGGTTGACAAAGCTAATGTCACAGGGTTCTTCTTGATGGCATTCCTCTACTGAGAAAGTGTCCTCAGTGCTTTCCCAGGCACAATCACACCCACTACACCATGCGGTCACAGAAGTGAAGATGAATCCCCACAATGACACAGGCTATTCAGTATAGCATTTTGTTGTGTGGTGACTAGCACTCTAGGCCATGCAGAGTACTCAGTTAACTTATCCAAAGGCAGGACTCTGATAAAGCCAGGGAGAGGGCTGCAAACTTTCTGTTTCCCTGACTACCCATGACTGTACTCAAAACCACATCACTATGAGAGAAGGCCCAAAGCCTGGAGCTAACAGAATTTGCTTTAATCCATTTGGTTTTGTTGCCTCACCCAGAATCAACTGTATACAAGATTTGCATTGTGTTCACTTTGTGATGTCAGGTCTGACACTAGAAAGTAGAAAGAGCTTGCTGGGCTAGTACACCAGGGGGTGAGCAAAGGAACAGTTTCATGGTGGGTGTAGAAGTGGATAGATGGATAGTCAGCAATGAATGCTACATGCAGGAATTGCTTGGAAATGGATGGGATGGGTGGATGGGTGAGTTGGTAGAAGGATGGATGGATGGATGGATGGATGGATGGATGGATGGATGGATGGATGGATAGTGGATAATTGGGTTAATTGGTAGGTGTATGGATAGATGAATTTATGGCTGGTGTGCTAAAAATGCCCTGATAAAAGCAAATCAAGAGAGAAAGGGCTTATTTTGGCTCACAGTCTGAGGTTACAGTCTGTAACAGCAGGGAATTCAAAACAGTGGAAGCTTGAGGCAGTGGCTCACATTACGCCCACAGTCAAGAAGAGGAGAGTAACCAGGTGGTGGATCTCTGTGAGTTCAAGGCCAGCATGGTCTACAAAATGAGTTCCAGGAACCAGGGCAACATGGAGAAACCCTGTCTCTTTAAACCAAAAAAAAAAAAAAAGGTAAGTGATGAACGTGATCATCACAAGATCCCCAGCACCGTGAATGGTGCTACCTACGGTGGGAAGGATGTCCCACCTCAGCCTAATCAAGACAGTGCCCCAAAGGCATGCCGAGAGGCCTGTCTCGTAAGTGATTCTAGATCCCATTAAATTGACAATTGATATTATCAGGTGGGCTGGACTATTCCATGCTCAGAGCACAAGATTCCAGCCCCAGCCTCAATCCGACTCCAGCCTCCCCAGCCACAGCAGAGACCATGGGACATTGGCTGGGGCAGGACTTGGTCAGACACCCACCCTTGGTGGACAGGTCTTTCTCAAAAGCCTGTTACCTTGAAATCTAGAGCCTGTGTGTGGGCATGGGGTTGGGGGGTGAAGGTTGTCAGGTTACAGGAGCCACCATGGTTTCAATCAGGGTCCCAGGGAGAGAGAAGACTCGCCAGGAACTGTAAAGCCAGGGCCCACCCTTGTCCTGGGCCTCTCCTCCTTCTTCTCATGGCTCTGTGCTTCATGTGGGTTGCAGTGATTGATTCTTGTCCCCAATTCTAGCCCGAGCTGAGTCACCCTTGACCTGGCCTGACCTTAGCAGTGATCTGGATAGAGGCAGATGGGAAGGAGCCACAGGCACCAAGGAGACCTTGAAATGGTCGTGATGGTTCCTGGCACCATGGCCCTGGGGAGCCTGACCGTGATGGAGCACCCATGAAGCAACAGTATGGCTATTTCCGAGTGTCCTCTAAGATCAGAATCCTGGTGTCCTCAGTCCTTCCCACCCCTCCCAGAGCCTCGGTGTCCTGTCCACAGAGACAGGCAGTGACAAATGAAGACCAGTGCTAAGGCCAGGAGCACCAAGGTGCTAAGAATGACAACATGTCACCTGCAGCCTTAGGAACCTGAGCCTGGACCCAGCAGGTGCCCAATGAGTGCGCACTGGAGGGAAGGGTCGATCCAGACTTCTAGGTGCTCCCAGTCAGGACACACATGTCAACAAACTCAGGGCAAGTGGACCCACTGGAGGGCTTAGGGACCCCCGTGTCCATCTGTTTGCTTCTTTGAAGGGATGCTCACTCATGGAGAGGGGAGCTTGCTTCTGGTTACTCTGACTTCAAGTAAGCCAGGACCTCCATGCTATCTCTATAGCACCCCAGACCAAAGAACCCTAAAAGTGATAGCAGGCAAAATTCAGGGAGCTGAAAATACATGTTCCTCCAGTACATTCACTCCTTAGCCAAATCTTGAACATTCCCAGAGGCCAGTCAGGGACCCACTCACTCACTCTGTAGATGGGAACCCTAGATCACTGCTATTTGGGACTCTCAAAAGCCCCTCCCCCGACATCAACCTGACTGTGTCTACACACAGCACCACGCTCTCAAGAGCCATAGAACTTCAAGTCCAAACCGGACTCCTTTCCACAGCTGTGTGATCAGAGGCAAGTTACTTGACCTCTCTGGGTTTCAGGTCCCTGTTCTGTGCAGTGAATGAAGGAAGATGGTGGGCTCACTGTTCGGACTCAGCAAGGCATCTCTGCAAGGAGTGGGTCCTGCAGGTAGGCTCTGCTGGCTGACCCAACCAGGGTCTCCAGGCTCACCTGCAGCTTCCAAGGCCCCGCCCTCCCCACTGCCCAGCCTCCAGCACAAGAGCGTGGGAACTTCCTAGTGCTGTGTTTGTCTTGGGCGGCTGGGGAGGGGCTGCACCCTCTGTCAGCTCCAGTGTGCTCCTGCCAGGTCACCCAGCGTGAAAGGGAGGGATTGTTCCCGTGACCTTTGCTTTGCTAGTCAAAGGTTCTAGGGCCTGAGACAGAGCGGGCCCTTCTTCCTGAAGGCCAGGCAGCCGTGGCCATCCCCCCACCCCAAAGGAGTTACAGGTCACCTGTGCCAGGGGACTCTCAAGCTCTGTCCCTGCCTCCAGAGGCAGCAGCCTGCTGGGGTTCCTTCCTCACAGTATCTGGTGCTCCAGGCCCCACCTGCACTCCACCCTGGGGAGGTGCCTGGAGGTCAGTCTCAGGTCTCTGCCGACTTGGAGACACTTCAGCAATTTTTTTTTCTTTCTCACTTCGCCTCAGTCTCCTTGGTCAACTCAGTCATGAGGCTGGCAGCCCCAGAGCATAACCTTCTGGCGACTTCGGAACCCTCCAGAAACAGCCATGCATGCAGCGGTCCCTGCAGGGTTAAGGGTCATTAAAGGTCAGGAGGCTCGTTTCCGATCCTCCAAAAGGTGCGGGTCATTAATGAACGCTGTTCTTTTCTTCTGGGGCATGAACAAAGCAGCTTCAGCTCACAGCGGAAAGGCTGCAGGTCAGGGTTCCCAGGGTATGGAATGTCAGCCTGGGGCAGCAATGACAGTCACCCAGAAACTCTAAAAATAGCCTGAAGCTGCTTTGGAAAGGGAGGGGGCGCACAGCCACTGCTCATGGCTGGTCTTCTGCTTTTGTTGTCCTTTTCAAGGACAAAAGGAAAATGAACTCAAGAAGCGTCAGACAGAAGGTGACATCAAGGTAAAGGCCACAGCAGACTGTCCAAGTCCACTTAGGATCAAACCTGATCTTCCGCAAGTCCCACAGTTGGCAGCATTTGGTGGGTCTGGCCTCAGCGCTGAGCGAGCTCCTGTTCAGTCACTAGTTCCCACAGGCTGGCAGGGCAGCCTGGTCTACACCACACCGGAGGAGAGAGCTGACCTGTCCAGCCCAGCACCCATGGAGGTCTCAAGCCACATGGAGGTCTCAAGCACTTGAAAGGAAGTTTAGGGGCTGAGGAGAGAGTTCAGAGGGTAAAATGTATACCATGAAACTGTGAGGACTTGAGTTTGGATCCCCAGCACCCCTATAAAATGCTGGGTGCAGCAGCAGCATACAGTAGCATCTCCAGAGGTAAGGGAATTGAAGCAGGCCGGCCAGTCTAGTCTACTGATGAACTCTGGGTTCAGAGAAACCCCATCTCAAAACGAAAAACTGAGATGTGAGAGGAAGGCGTCTAAATTGACCTGTGACCTCCACACGCATGACCGCATGACCTGTGACCTCCACACGCACGTATGGCTCAATGTTGTTGTATGCAACAGCGAAGTTTAAACTCTAAGAGAAGAGACTCATAATTGATTAGTATTGTCTTTCAAGGTCAGAGGATGGGAAAGTCAGGCCTGAATGTGGTGTTACTGAAAGACCAGGGGACCCAGTCGGATCTAATGATTCTGGGGCCTACAGAGTTTAGCATTTAGCAGGAAAAAGTATCAGTGAGGTTCAGTGTCAGGGTCATGTCCTTCAGTCTCATTGTCTTTATTCAATTGTAGTCGGACCTTAGTCAGGACCGATGGCTCTCCAATAATGGTATGGGGACTTATTAATTATAAAAGCTTGGCTGAAGGCTTAGGCTTGTTAATAACTAGCTTACAACTTAAATTAAACCATTTTTATCAATCTACTTTTTGTCTCGTGGCTTTATTGCCTTTATTATGTATTGTCCATGCTGCTTCCTATCTGCCTGGCTGGCGACTTCCCTCTTCTTCTTCCCAGCATCCTGTGTGCCTGAAAATCTTGCCTAGCTATTGACTGTTCAGCTTTTTAATAAACCCATCAGAATGATACATCTTCACAGTGTACAAAAAGATTATTCCACAACACTCAACAGACAGAAAAGGCCTTCTACAACGCCATCCTCTTCTCTGGTGGAAACCCTGTATCTACACCCCACCCAGCCACTAAGAGACCCTTTGCTAAGGCATACCTTTCTGTTCTCACTACTGTCTTCATCTCCACGTCCACACTAGCATAGACACCAGCAGGCTGGATGACTCCACATCGCAGAAAGCTGAAGCCAAAGGCTATTACCCACCCATCTTGGCACCTCCCCACTTGACTCCACGAATTCCCATGTACATTTTCTTATTATACCCCACATGGGAAGGCAGAGTCTATGATTGGCCCATTTTCCATATGAGGACACTTAAGTTCAAAGACGGGAAAGGTTTGGTCAAGGATAGAAGAAAGAAATAGCAAGATCTGAAGCTCCAGCCTGGGTAGGTATCATGCCCAGACTTTGCTCTAGCACAGTGGCTATGCTGAGGAGACTAGGTCTCAGGCCAGCGAGTCCAGGACTTTCCCCACCGCTGCTTCAGTAAAGACAGGTAGATGGAAGGGTGGGTAGAAAGATGGACAGGTATGGGTGAATGGATGGACCGTAGATGAGTACAAGATGAATGGGTGGGTGGGTGGGTGGGTGGGTAGGTACATGAATGGGTGGGTGGGCAGAAGAGTGGGGTGGATGGGTAGGTGAGTAGATGGGCGACTGGGTGGGTAGGTGGAAGGATGAATGGATAGGTGGGTGGATAGATGGATGAGTGAACAAGTAGATGTATGGGTGAATGAGTAGGTGAAAAGAATTGATGAATGAATGGGTGGTAGGTGGAGTATGAATGGATGAAAGGGTGTGTGCATGCATGAATGAACAAGCAAGGAAACACGGTAAGAAGTGAGGCGGAAGGCCGCGGACAGGGAAGTGGGTGAGATAACCGTCCACCTGTCTCGTAACCAATTTCCAAGCATATCAGAAAATCAGGCCATGCAAAAAGAAAAAAAAATTCTTTGAGGTTTTTGTTTTCAAAGAGATAAAGCCTTTGGCAAGCCATTTCAAGGAAGCCTGGGGCAGTGGGAGGGCTGGCTCCCTCCCTCCCCTCCTCCCCTCCTGCTGGGTCGCTGCACAGCTCCTCCCTGAGGCAGCTTTCCCATGGGAAGGCTAAGCAAGTTCTGAATGGGACTCTCTCAAGCCAAAGAGTAAACACCCTGCTCAGGGCCTGCGGCCTGTTCCTGAACTGCTCAGTACTTAACAGAAGCGGCAT